GGAGGGAAGGCAGCGCTGGGACCGTCCCCATCCCTTCCCCAGGGCGCTGGAGCGGTCGCTGTGCCCTGGCACGTTTTGGCAGCGTTAGAACACCTGTGCCCCGCCGGAGCTGAAGGGAATGGGGAGCGGGGGGGCGATGCGAGGCTCCTTTTGCTACAAGAGGCAAGCGCGGCCGGGAACGCACCGAGCGCGGTGGCACCGGGCCAGCACAGGGCTCCACGGCCACTGAGTCAGGCCTGAGGCAAGCCGAGACCCTCCAGAGAGGGGCACGGGCAGAACGGGGGAGGTGTGAGCGGTGTGCGGGTTTGTGGTCGCTGCACCGGGCAGAGCCCGTTCTCGGGAGGTCTGGCACGGAGTTGCTTGAAATCCCCAGCCCCGATGCGGCAGCAGTTGTGGTTTAGCTTCAGCGGGCTCGGCCCTCTCCTCCCGCAGCCTCCAAAAGCACCATGGGGTACCTCGGCCTGCGAGCATCCTGGGAGCCGCCACATCCTGCGCCTCCTGCACCCGCTCCCGGGCGGGTGACACAGGAACTGCCAAGCCCCCTGCGTCCCTTCTCTCTGAACAGGAGCCGAAGGATGATCAGACATCCAGCAGACCCAGGGCACGCTGCCTACATCGGTTATTTGCTTCTCACCCTCTCGCAGTGCTGTATCACAACTCTTTTCCCACCCTCTTCCCGTTTTTCCTGCGTATCAACACCTTTCTTTCCTGTTTGTTGCCACTGGTTTTCATTCTTTATCTTTCCTAGTCCTTTAACTTTTTCACGCCTCTCTTTTTTTCCTTTTTTTTTTCTTTTTTTTCTGTTTTTTGTTTGTTTTTAGCTTTCCCTAAGCCATTCAATAAACAAAGCAAGCAGAAAAGAATAAATAAAACTTTTCAAGTTGATGCCAAGCAAGCAATAGCAACAGAGCATCTCCACTGCCTGTGTGTGCCATCTTCTCTTTCCTTTTGTTAGGCTTGCTTATTTAGGCACCTTCTCTGCAAAGTTTAATGTTTTTTGCATTATGAGTAATCCCATTTTAGATGAGAGAAGATGACTGTATGCTAACTAAATTGCTATATTTGTGAACATAACTGATCTTAAATTACACTCTGGAGGAACCTCCCCTTCTCCCCATTGATTTGATGTGTTCTAAGAAGCCTGGCCACTAGTTTTAGGTCTCTAACCTCACTGCCTGAAACCGAGGCAGAATTTTCACATAATTTAGTTTAAATTAATACCTTTCAATAAGAATTCTCGTGTTTTCTGAACTAGTTCATGCATCTTTTTAGGCTCAAATCTTAGACTGGAAGCTTTGTGGGGCAGGGGCTACTTACTTTGGCAAAGTATTCAGTACAATCAAGCCCTGAACTCATCTATTTATATACTGGAAATTTTAGAAATAGTAAATAACTGACTCCAGATAGAAACTTTTGGGTGTTAATTTTCTGAACATGATTGCTGTTAAGAGATTTAATAAATCAGATTCAATCACTGCCCTTTTAAAGACTTTTTTTTTCCCCCTCTGAGATTAATGCCACAATCAAAATCCACCGTGAGAATTCTTTTTCCTTTTTGACTTTAATGCCTTCCACAAGCTAAACATATTTCTAAATAAGACTGGATTTTCACAAGGCCAGAGGAAGCCTTGCACATCAACACCCAGCGAGTTGGAGTGGCATGAAGCAATATAAAATCATAAAGGCTGTAGTAAAAGCAGTACCCTTGAGAGGTGACTGTCCATGGAGAGAAGAACTGCTCTGAAACTTAGAAAATGCTCAAGGTTTGAGAATTAATGCCAGGCAGCTGTCCAGTTCAACTAAGCATATACAAATCAACTATATCCATGAATATTATTATTTCTCTGTAATTTTGTTCAAGACAAGGCAAAGTTACTAAAGCCTAACAATCATCCAGTAATATCTTGTCAGTTATAAAGTATCCAGATGGTTTATTTGAATGGAGTCCAGCAGTACATAATATGAATGTGTACAAACTCCTAACCCTCCCTATAGCTGAAACAAGCATTTCAGAATATTACTTTAAAAGTAAGGTTTTGTTATTTTTCTTCCTTTTTAACTGGTGTGCAAAACCCTCCATTTTTTTACCCTGGCAGCCATAGAAATATTGGTGTATTGTGTATTAATCCTATACAAAAATTGGCTGTGTTTGTATGGCAAGATGTCAAGCAAAGGTTCCATTTGTTTGTTTTTGTTTTTATCATCCTTGCATATGCCCCACTGGAGTGAGATGGGAAAGTCTCTGACGCAGGAGGAAAGAGGAAAGCCCCAATCAACAGCATTCTGGAAATCTCTTGTTGCCAGCTGGCAGGAACGTGGCTCCTGCTCTCCATGGGATCCAGGGAGAAAGGGATGGGTCACACACCTGACGAGGGGGAGACACTGGGGAAAACTAATGACAGCTCAGTGAAGCAGTAAAATAGTAAAAATACTAAAATACTAAATACTTAATACTAAAAATAACTATATTGTTTAGAGAAAGCTCAATAGTGCTGTTTGTGCTTCATCTCCATTTCCTGTAGCTAAACATGAGGGAGGACAATAAAAATAGGAATTTCATAGATATCAAAATGTGATTTCTTTTTCTTAATATAAAGATTTTTTTTCTATGGACTTCATAGAGATTATGTCCAATGGGAGTAGATTATAGGAAAAAAATGCTGCTTTTTAGTAAGAACTTGGATTGTCCCTAAAACAAGTGGGAGGAAATAAATATTAACATAGACTTAAAAGGGTCAGAGGTAATTTAAGGGTCCAAAATGAAAGATGAAAGATAACTGGAAGATGCATTTGCAGTGCACCCGAATCATAACAAAATGAAACACCTTTTTTTTCTGAATTTCAACCCAACTGGAGTCTGAGTGACAAATCCTTGTCTTCGTCCTTAACAAGGAAATTTCTCTGGGCCCAGTTGAAAGCTGCAAACCTGCCCTAGTGATCTCTGAGCTTGTATCCTGAGCATGCAAAGCCCTAATGGTGCTACTTCAAGGAACGCCTTGAAAAGGAAGAAAAAACAGTATTAACTTTCTGCTGGGTTAGTGTTTAATGCCTTGGATTCCTTGAGAAAGAGTACCCACAATTATATTAACAAATGTAGGCCACTGACGTGAGAAAAAGAAGAGACTGAAATTAGTGTGTCATTCTTTGTGCCCACATTTTTCTAGACGCACTCGTACTTGACACTTGTATTCAATTTAGTTCTGACATTTCAGCTGAGGTTTTTTTGGAATTGTGGATTAAAACTTCCCACCTAAACATCAAGGATTTTACATAAAACTGATGAATCTAAATGTCTAGGTATCAATAGAAAAATGATCCCTTCTCTCAGGTGATTAAATGTATTGTATTAATGTGTGCATAACGCAGAATCAATAAATAATGAATTACCACTGATTGTAATTGAATGTTTTCATAATTTTATTGTCAGCCATGATAAATAATCAGTACATTTATACTGCATTAAATTAATTAGTGTGTCATTTCTATTACATACATCAGCAGTGAAGTAATGCAGTGACATCTGTTTCTAATGTTTTAAAGATGTGGTATTCCTTATTAAGTAAAAGGAAGAGTTATTAGAGGTATTTCCTGTGATTGGCAGTTATACTGGTACAGTCAAGGGGATCAAATAAAGGAACTTGCACTCTTGGCAAATGCTGCGTTTCAACCCTTAATGGCAGCAAGTAACAAGGACTGGAGTGGATTTTGCTTCTTTAGGATTTCAGAAAATCCTGTCTAGCTTTCTAGAAAAAGTAAGAGCAGATCCCTTCTTCCTGATACAGTTGGGAAGATTCTAACATGCAAAACAATTAAAGCTCTACAGAAGAACCAGGCATCCACATGCATTTCTGTATCCATTTTTCTGTCTCAGGCCTCTGTATATACAAAGGAATTCCCTGCTAAGTGCTCATTAAAAGGTCAGATTAAGCCTTTTTTGGCTGTGATGTTCTTACATGGAAGTATCTGGACTATTGGGTCTGTAATCTTTCTTGGAAGCCACACTAATGTGATGTATCTTAGCTTTGTGCTGCTGTTCATTATGTTACCTGCAACAGAAAGAGGAAATTGAGGAGATGTTGCAAACACAGGAATCAAAAAGTGAAGGAGTAGAATAGGAGGAACAGAATAAATGGAAGGGAATATACAGCAAATAAGCATGAAGCAAACTGTGCCAGAAGGAGGGTGGGTTTCTAAATGACTCCAGGTATTATAAATGGGGTGATATGAGTAAAACCCACTGAGCAGCAAGTTACAGATGACAGAAGTAGTCTGGAGTTCATGATTAATGCTGTCTTTTCCATGACACACATGGTCATCCTTAACTTTTCTGTACCTTACACCATCTTTAAAAAGAAAATTGGAAAACCTAATGTTAGAGCTTACCTGACAAGAGTTCTTTATCCACAAAACAGTTTTTAATTTGAATCTTAAATTTCTCATACTAACAATGGGCATCATGATATTTATGCAAAATGAAAACAGTTCAGACTTTTTTTATTCTTTCCAGTGGAAGTCTCACACATTGTTTCTGACTCATCACTGACAACTCTGCACAGATTTGGCTTGGTGGTCTCTGGGCCAGCCATGTGCACTCAGCAGTTTGTCCCCATGGCTTGCCCTGGACAGGGAGCTGTGGCTGGTTTGGGAGAGCCTGTGTGGCCAGCACTGGTGGCTGCTCACTGGCAGGGTTGCACATTTAATACTCTGTGATCTTCAATCTCTCTCCAGCCCAGGTGAGACAGCGCCCTGAGGCTCCCTCCATGCACTGAGCGTGATTTGGGGCCTCCTCTTTGGCCAGCCCTCGACAAACACAGCCCTTGAGAGAAGTTCTGCAGTTCACAGCGCCTGCCCTGTGCTCCCAGCTCATACTCTATGTGAGGCATGAAGGATGTGACCATTTACTACAGACCCTGAGATAAATAAAGCACAAACATACTCTCTAAAACAAGGTCCCATCCACTTTTCCTATTCATCAAAATGTCACTTGTGTTATCACTGGAGAGATGTGACCTGCCGTGTTTGGCACTATCACTTTTTGTCTAACACATGTGTAAATACTGGTTCTGAAAGCCAGAAGCACATTTGTCATACAAAAATGTGAGTGGTCCTTTTAAGCTTGTTCCAATGAAATCCATGAATACAAGATACAGACATTGCTAATGATCCTCCATGTTAATCTGGATTTTGATTGAGGAGAGAGAGCAGCAAAAGATCAGGACCTTAATGGAACAAGGCTGTTTTACAGAAGATACAATCATCATTAATGTTCAATGTTGTTTGTACCTTTTCTTCTTCAGGAAGAAAACTTTATACTATTAGGTGTGTACTGAGGTTTAAACACACCTCATAGCAAAGCACTGTGAACACAATTCCATGTGCTTCAATATATTCAGTAAGTCATCAGACCCAAATGCTCGTTACTATTCCCAGAGGAACAAGATTAACCTCATCTCTCCATATTTTCAGGTCAGTTAAAGAAAGCAAAAGTTTTCCGGCAGTGTCTGTCTGAGCATCTCAGCCCTAATCTGAAGGCACCACCATCTAGTGGGATAAGAAGGTATTTAATTTTCTTTACGTTTTTTTGGTACTTTTAAACGTGGTCATCACATTCTACTTCAAGTACCAAAAAAAAAAAAGTTTTTGGGTTTGTTTTTTTTTATTTATTTATACATATAAGGCTTATGTGGCCTTTCCATTAATTCTCATTTCCATTTTAACTGCAAAGCATTTTCCAATAAAAACCTTAGAAGTAGTTTCCTTAAAAATAGTTTTTCATAAACAGAATTTTATCAATGAGAAAACAATTTATAGCTATCCAGACTCAGTGGAAGTATAATTGATTTATTGACAAAATATTTCCAGTATTATATTGAATCTACTTTGTGGAAATCCAATTGGCAGAATTATTAATATTATGAAAGTAATCATCTTGAGCTCATCTTTAAAACCAATGTGTATTTTAGGCAGTAAAGATCCGTCCATGCAGTTTTCCACAGAGCCATTAACTGTACAGCTTTTGGTTGTAAGCAGAGTCTGACCATTAAGTCCCATCTAAAATAAATTCCCAAGCTGAATGCAAAGCATTCCTTTTACCTCTAAGAGTGACCATTTATTGTACTTTGCCCGTGCTGATATCCTGACTGCTACCTGCTCTTATTTGGTTTTCCTTTCATGCATTTACAGTTGGGCAGGGTAATGGCAGGGATTTTCTGTGGGGGAGGGAGAACCATCAGGGTGAGCAGAGTGTGTTCATTTGGCTGATTTTTACCACAGAATGTGTGCATCTGCAGCTGTTATCCTAAGATGCCTCCTTGTGTTCAGGTCTCATTGATCTTGTTACAGCATTTCACACACACAGGGATAATTGATTTACATCATTCAGGAGTCCAGATCTTTTATAAGCGTGAGAGTAAATATTAAGAAATTACCATATTTTAAAATTCTATAGATACTTTGATTTTTTTTACTATCTAAACCAGTAATGGTATAATAAAGATTTAAATACTTCATTACACAGATAATATTTTAGTATTCATAATGTGGGCCTGCTTCTGTTTCCATGGAAGTGAGTGGTATTTTTATCTTGGATACTACTAGACATTTCAGTGTCTTACTATCTTCAAATTATAGAAATCTTATTGACAGAAATAGTGATCAATGGGTATTTTGCATTGAACATCAATTTTATGATACTGTCTTTTCAAACACTACATTTCTTCTGAAATCCATAAGGTAATGTCAATCTGCCAGTTCCTACTGAAATCAGTCTGGAGTTGTGAGTAAAATTCAATGGAACTGGTCCAAACTGGTTGAGGTAGTAAATGCCATTTTGACCCTTTGATCCTTGAACCATGTGCCTTCGAAGGTTTGAATTTCACTTAGAATGCAAACTTAAAAATAGGTAAGTACTTTCATTTGGGATACTATTTGCAGCTGATGAAGTCCAGGATTCTACCTCACACTCCTTCGAGGAATAAAAATCCCACCTAAATAAGAAGTTTGGGGTGTACAAGGAATTAGGGAGACAGTCTGGAGAGAACAGGTATAGGGAAGTTCAGGGCAGTGATCTACACAACTGCTGACTCCTGAGTTCACACAGACCTTGCAAAAGCCTCTGAATTCTCATCCATTTTTCAACTCCCTGAGGAGTGAGCCTGGTCCTGAGGCCTTCTTGCCACTCTGCCAACTCTTGGGTCACTCTTCTCACAGCTCTGGTGGAAGCTGAAGAAAATACTATGAACCTAATTTTATTTTTTTTTAATAAAAGTAAGTATTGAACAAAATTAGCTCCAGGATACTCCATAGTTCTTTATAGGAAGTGGAGGGAAAGGTCTCACTGAGAACTCATTCTGCAATTTTACCTGTCACAAAGCCTGAGCTGGGTAGGCTGAATCCACAGTAGAATTGAGTCTGTCTGAATCTCAGTCAAAGCAACTCAGACTGAGATCAGAATCAAATATTTAAGAGCAGGTTTTGTTTTTAACTTGACCAATCTCTGTGTCTCAGTATGTCCTCTGAGCTTTTGGATAAAGTCAAATGAAAGAAGCAGCGCCTTTCTTCATCTTCAGGAGACATTATTGACTGTATCTACCTATTTTTCCTCTTTCTTACTTTCACATCAAGGTTGATGTGACAAATATTGATAACCCAGAAAAATATATGTAATCCTACATAAACCTGGTTTTATATACTTTAACTTCATTGCCTTTCTGATGGAATTACCAGTGACTTGTGGAGGCATAAGGATGATCAGGCCATGAATTGAAGGTACAGGTTGGAACACCTGTGATCATAATTATTTAATGCATAACCATCCTGGAGTTTTTTTTTAAATTCTCCTTGCCCATATTTATAATGTTAAAACCTGTTAGTACCCTGGGAAACCATCACTGATATCTTTCATTAGTATTATGAATTTTAGAGTATTTTGCATTGAGGAGCACCGTAAACTGAAAGTATTTCTTCCAAATTTTTTCTAAATGGATGTCTTACAATTAGATTCCATTATGATTTTAAATATGACAAGATCTTCCCTATTTTTCCCCACAAGGTCTATGAATATAGAATAAAGCAAGGTTTAATAGAGACTTTGCAGTGTAAATATTTTTCCCTAAAATGTAAATATACGATATAGTTTCAATTTTAAAAATGGAACTGAGTGTTCTGTTTTAGACAGTGGTTTATTTTATATGATCAATATGAAAATAAAAAGGTTTTCCTTAGAGTGATAGGACTTCAGACACCAATTTTCTTTGCTATTTTAATAATCAATGTTGATTGAACACACTGTGATCACTTCAGTGCATGAAATTAGCCAGGAATCCTGGGTTTGCTGATATTTTCCATTAATTGAAACTTATTTGAATCCAGCATCTTTCAGTGCAATTCTTTTCCATACAAAATTCATGTTAAAAATTCCAATTCCTGGACATAGTGAGGAAACTTGAAAGTCTGTCTTTTGGCCAGAGGATTTCCATGGCTGTGCTGCAGCTCATCAGTCATCAGTCCATCTGACAATTCCTCCATTTTTTTTTCCTAAATGCCAAAATATTACAAGCAGCCACTCAGGGAAATCCTTCCAACAGGCTCTTTTCAGTCCATCTCTTGGGCAGAGGCAGCTCATCTGTGATTTTTCACAGCTCCAAATGTGTTTTTTAAGGTATCTTTCTGTGTAGTGGCATGAACGTGATTCTGTTCATCCCAAGAAAACAGGAAAGACACCATAACTTAATTGAACAAAGACAAGTAATGCCTCCCATGGAATCCATCTTCCCAATTCCTATTTAGGGAATTCCTGGTCATGCAGGAAGCCATCTGAAAAGAGGCTATCAGGAAACTGCCATCTGCAAGGCTTCAGAGAGCAATTGTTTCCACAAGTCACAGTAACTCTGTTCAGAAACAGGATTTTAACACTTGGTTCACTGGCCCTCATGGAAGACTAAAGGAACAAAATAAAATGAAAGATTAAGTTCTGGAGGATCAAGCCCTGTTTTTCACAGATGCCAGGTATCAGGAATTGCAGCTATCACACCAGCTCTGATGATCCTCTGTTGCAAAATGCTATTCATAGTCATTTCGAAGTCATCAGGGAAATGGGAATTATGAAACTTTTATTTTGCTATGCACAGTATACAGCCTTTGTAGTCTTGATTGATCATCTCTGGTTTGATGTGATATAAACTCTGGAAAAAGGAAACTGCTTTCACCAACAAATATTGTGGATCTCAACTGTTCATAACTGCCAATACTGACAAACTCACACAATATAGATTTACTAGTTGAATAGACACACAGTTTACTGTAGCAACATTACCAGGGAATACAGAATTAAATCCCAGATGGATCAGTATCCATAGTGCTGAAATACAAACAATTATTAGGAACTTTGGAAATCTTTAGGAGCTCAGTGTCTACATACAGTCCCAATTCATTAATGGACTTTTTGAATGCTACCCTCACCTGGAGGCACTACCACTTAAATTAGTTCATCTACTGATTTGTGTGCAACTATTGCTGTTTAACATCCCTTGTCTGGCTCAAAATGCCACATTTAGGTAGCACCTCACTATTTAAAATCTCTTTCTTTGGAATATTTTAAAGTGCCATCCCACAGTATTTATGTACCTGTTTTTCTGTACAATTTGACTACATTTTATTGGAAGCAAAGAAGGATGTATGTAGTACTTCTAGATCTGACTTCTTTTGAAACATTTTTCCACCTTTTAAGAAAATTACAATAGCTTCCATGAAAAGTTCAGACTGAAAAAAGCAAATGAAAAACCCCAAGCACTAAAGCACAAAACAGAAAAGAATTGCACTGACATGTGAAATGTGTTAAAAATTCTTCTTTGAATCAGTCATTTAGACATACAAAGATAATGATGATGATTATGATGACAATAATTATAATCAACTAAAATTTAAATTCATCCATTTTCTTCTATGCAAATACCAATTATATTTCTTTTCTTTAAAATGAATGTGACCATTTTAAGTAGTTATTCTTGCAAATCTTCCTAATAATCTGCCTCAACATTGACAACAGCACAGCATTCTTCTGAAGTGAGGGGGGAAATTCTGTCTCTTCTGGCTTAATGGAAAGGCCAAAATGAATTCTTTATATAGAATTAATATTCCCAGTGTGAGAAGCTACAGCCTATTCCTTTATTTACTCCATCAAACAGAGGAAGTGCTGCTCTTAGGTGCTAAGGGAGGGCACACCGTGCTCCCATTAGTTCTTCTCTCTGGGTTCTGAGCCATTTCAGGCACAGAGCTGAAGTAAAAATAATGGCTCAAAGTCTCCTTGCCCCCCTCAGAGATTCTGTGGTGCAGAATGCCTGAGAGAGGTGGTTCAAGTTCTAGGAATAACTACTGTGCTCCTGGAGAAGTTACTTCATGGAAGAGCTGTGCTGCATGGATCTGGGATCTGCTAAGCCAACATCTTACCCTGAAAAAGATGGTGCTAAGACTAAACAAACTAACAAACAACTTTCTAATGAGTACTGTGCATTATGATTTATTACATTCAAATGAAAAACTGTTATTCAGACTACAAGATTTGCCCTTTAATTGTCTTCACTTTATATATTATCACTTTAAGAACACACAACCTGGAGAAAACCCTGTTATCAAGGCAATGGGATTGAAATTCAGGTTGCAGACAGGGCCCCAAAAACAGATTAAAATGCAAACATCTTACCAAAACTTTAAATACTTCAATATAGCTGGCCCACATATTGCTTACAGTAGAAGGATTCTTTTCCTAGACATATAGTTTAATTAAAGTTTAATAAGTGCAATGTGGACATCTTCTTTTCTGCAGAAGAAAAGGCAGCATTTAAATGGAGTGTGCTATGTTTGGATTAATGAAAAATGGATGTTAAATCCTGAGTGTCCATCCTGAATTCTCAAAAGCATCACACATACATAGAGTCTGGCACCAGTTTACAACTTCTGAAAGAAAAACAAGAGCTATTCTCATTTCTGTGAGCAAGCTGAGTATAATCTCATTTCGAATGCCTTAAAGATTTCGGTGCAGCACTATTGCTACTCTCTGGCTTTAAAATCCTAAAGTGAGTATTTTAAACACAAAACTTACTTGTACTGTAATGTTGGGAGAGAAATGCTCAATAATGAGGCCTTTGCTGTGTATGAGTTCAGTAAATTCACTTATGAAAGAGGTGATTACACATATTCTGGTTTATAAGCTGATAATTTTCTTTTTAGCCACAGCCCTTTCACAACTTAAATTTGTCCCCAAACCACTCTGCTGCAGCTGACAGACAGTTTCATACATGCCCTTTCAGGCAACAGAGGAAGAGGGTCTGGCAGCCCTTCCCTGGCTGTGTGTACCCTCAGATAATGTTAAATTTCAACCACTGCAGCAGCAAAGCCCAGACTAAATCTCTGTTCAGAGATATTTACAGATCTCTCCTACACAGAGCTCCAAGCAGAGCCCTGACAGAGCCAGCAGTGGAACTGAGGCAAATCAGCCTCCAACAGAGATTTTCTCCAAGTAGGAACAGTGTTTGCTTTATAATTTTTAGTCACCTGCTCCCATAATTTCAAAGGTAGTTGTATTAATTTGTTTTTTAGCAGTGTTATCACCAATAGCCTGATTTACCTGAAAGTCAGTCTCTGGCTCTTACTCCTAACTTTCAGATGTCTCTTGGCTACAGTTTGGTGTTGGAGTCCTTGGTGACACGTGTGTCTTCACAAGAATCTCAGCTGGCAAGAACTCATTTCAGCTGAGGCCTTTATAGTCTTTTGTTTATGGTTTCTCTGGTGAAGTCTAGGCAAAAATACTGCATATGAGACACATCAATTCCTTTACTTTATGGACTACTTTAAACCCTTTTAATTATATAATAATATTTATGGGGAGTTTCCTAAGGGACCTTTATCAGTTTCAGAACTTCAAGTCTTGGTTTATCCTCTCTTTTCATTCCAGCCAGGTGCCACTTACAATTTTCAAGACTGGAGAATGCTGCTGTTTAAAAAACACTCAATAATCTTGCACTTGTCATTCTTCTCAAACAGAGAAATGAAAAACTTTCAATCTGTGGCTGGCTGATTTTGTTTCATTTTCTGTATCATCCAGCTCCCAGACTAATTCCTGGGCTTTTTTCTATATTCGTATGGGCACATTTTTAAGTACACATATATATATAAAAATTAAGTGAAATAAAATAACTACTCCTATCTTCTGTTTAAGGCAATATACATTTCACCTTCAGCTGTAATTATGGTTTGTTAACCAAACAGAAAAGACCAAGATGTTGAGGTTGAACTTTGCATGGTAAAACTTGTGCTGTCTGTAATGAAGTAGGAATATGCACGAATAACTGAAGGATCTGTGTTCATGAACTGGCAACAAGTCAAAAGAGATGAATAAAGGAAATGCCATATATAAAAGAATGGGAACATTTCCAGAGAAAAGAGATTAATTTCTTATATAAGCCATAGCCCCCAGATGTGCTGGAAAAGGTACAGTTTTCCTAAACTCACAGAACACAAGTCTGAAAACCTTACTATGCAATAAAACTGCTTCGAGTAATATTGCAAATGAAGTAAGGCACTAACTGAATGTCATGAGACACACTTGTCCATCTTTACTTAATCCTCCTTAAATATTAATAAATTGTAATCCTAATGAATCTTCATTTATTACACAACTTCATGCAGCAGTCTTATATATCCAATCTCTTTCTTTTTTTCTGGTGCTTACTGCACTTCCTGAAGTATCATAACTGACCATAGCTTTGAGATGGAGGAATAGAGAAATATTGGAACTGCCAGGACAGAAAGCATTCAGTTCTGCTTTGTGGCATCCTGGATTTTGAACCAGCCTGAATCTTGGGGCTGCTGCAAAGACTTTCTCCTTCTTTCTGGACACCTGAAGTTTTAGGAAACCCATAAAACCCATAAAACTTACAGGTAATCCTTAATGTAGCTAAAGTGGAACTCAAGTTTCTGTACTCTGCCAGTTTCACTGGGGAGAGCAGTCTTGTCAAAACTATGATCCTGGGTTTTTTTTCCCTCCTTGGTGCTCATTTTGTACAAGATAATTTTGATTGCCATGAGAGACCTATAGAATTTTTGCAGATTGCCATTAATTAAAGATTGAAAAAATAAACTCTTTGCCTTGCATGGTTACAGAAGTCAAGTGATATGTAATTCCCTTTCCAGCCTCTCTAAGCAATCCCATAATTTACACACATCTTTGTAATCAAAAGGGCAACCTCAAAATGAGTTTCAGTGCACCTTAGGAAGAGAATGTGCATTTAATTATTCAGAGTATTTAAAATACATTCAAGTCACTGATCTACCAAAGGCCTGTATCACAAGAGTGTTCATACCACTCCAACTGAGTGTCTGCATCCGACTGACGATTTGCAGTATAGGGTCTAATGCCATTAATATCACACAAGTTATATGGGCATGATTGAGGCTGACCACTGCAAGCTGTGACAGGAAGACAAACTCAGATAATGGTAAGAAAGAGGAAGTTGGAATAAAAGTTGTCTGAGAGTTTAGAATAAATTTGGAAACAATTTTTTCCCAAACACGCCTGACTGTGGGGAGGCTGTTCCCGTGGTTAATGAACAATCAGGACGGTGCATGCGTGAGTGGGTGCCAGTTGTGGAACTGCAAAACTCCAGAGGAAAGCCACTCACAACTGCAGCAGCACACAAACACTGCCTTGCTGCCTGAACTAATGAGCCATTTCGCTGGGATAAAGCACGTTATTCACTGGATGTTTCAAGCAGCTAATGGGCCCGATCCTGCTGCTGATCCTTATTCAAACTGGTACTCAAGGAGAATTAAATTCTGTATCCATTGAGGGAACAATAGAATGAATAATGAGATTTCACACGTGAAATCACTGCAGGATAAAGAGACTACATAACTCAAGAAAATTAAAATTCATCATAGTGAACGTGAAGCATTTGCTGTTTGTTTTTGGTGGAAGAAGCATTTGATCAAATGGTGGGAGACGAGACCTTGAGATAACTAGAAACTCCATAATTCTAAAGCTGATTTGTCCTAATTTTCTTTTGGACGTCAGTGTTCCTACCTAGGAAAATAAAAACACTTCCAGAGCTTATGAGATTTTGCTCAGATTCCTGTACTTCTGAAAAGCATTTCGAGAGAGTTAGATATTAACTACACAAACTTTAAAGTAAAAAGGGTAGTTCTATGGACGTGTGAAAATCCCAAATAAAAGTCATAAAGTAAAACACTGTGTTTTTATGAAAGATGTTTTGGTTGAGATCGAAGTTTGAAAAGTTGCTCACAGAAAAAGTATTTAGAACTGCTGTAAGTGGAATTTTAAAAGTATCTTTGTGTGCTTTTATGAACTGCTATTGCTAAAAATTCTGTATAAATCCTCTGCAATACGTAGGATTCCATAGGTAGGAATTACTTCATAAAATATAGGGGAAAAATTATTCAATACAAATGTTTAAAAATTTACATTCAGTTCTTCAGTATGCATTTTGGAATGCATTTTGGCAATCCTAATTGATGAGACCTAGTTTAAGAAAATATAGGAAAATTCAGTAATCAGGGCACAGGATGTTTAATTACGTTGGTGTGCATTTCTATTTGTTTCTAATGTAGAGGATCTATTGGTGAAATGAATGCCCATTTTGTGGTCTGTTATGCAGAAAATGTTTAATCCAGTGTTTGATTTACTCTGTTAAATCTTCTTTATTGAATGTGCTTATTCATCCATGCAGAATTGGGTATGCTGCTTTCTGTTAATATGACATTGCAATTAAATAGCTAAAGAGAAAAACATGGCAAGACATTTTCTCAAGGCCCATGAAATTCTCATAAAAATTATTCATACTTACATATTTCACTTCTACATTTGCTGATACTAAAACTGCAAACTACATTAAAGATCCTGAATAATCATTTTTGTCAAATAAAAAGTACTAAGGAGGATTTCTGGTCCAGTGGATAATGACTGTCATCACGAAATAGGATTGCACTGATTGCATCTTATGAATGAAGCTAACAGGAACTCACAGCAACCAAACAACAGCATTTTGTGGTGGGATAAATACTTAAGCACTTGAGAAACAGTAAGACATTGACAGTGAAATAGCTCTGCTCCAGTGCAGTCCTAGAAATATATTAAACAGTAACAAAAGGTTTTCGTGATGATGTTAGACTTTCCTGAGTGTGCCTTCCCTCAGTAGGAAAAGGATGTGTAAGGGGAGTTTGTCTTATCTAACCAATATAGTGATGCTTTGTTCCTCAGCACAAGACATTTAGGTCAGGGATGATCCAGCATTGTGAGAATTCTGCAGCTATATTTCTTTTACATGTTAAAAAGTAGAAACAACAGCTCCATCCGTGGAATTGCATGGGAGCTGCACAATGGAAGTTTTACTCAAAACCTCTATGGGACAGTTGGAAACATAAATATAATAAACATAAGACTTAAGTCCTTTTCTGTCTGAATTTCCTCATTTTCTCTGTTACATATTTATCAGCACAGTAAACAAGGGCTGATGTTTAAATCTCTGTATTTTGTTCTTACCTGGTTGGATGTTTCCTGCTAGACTTTTTTCTGTGCTGCACTCTGCTCCAGCACGTCTGGCAGTACCACAGGGGTAATGTGGCCTCTGGTTTCCATTAGTCACTTTTTACTATTTTCACTATTCTTTTGCTATGGGAACAAAGAGCTTGTAAGAAGGTGTTAACAGGCTGCTAGCTGGTTTATTGTTATTATTGATTTAAGGTGCTAAGACTTTAATATAATCATACACAATGAATAATATTAAGAGATTAGTTTAAAGCCATATAAGCCATTAAATGCAAAACAAAAACTTTCCAGAAATTTCCAGCATATTCTGGCACAGGTGTTCTGTGCTGAGTTATTTTGCCTACTTGCTGTATCTGGCTTTTTCAAATCTGTGGTTTTAGTCCTGCTGCTCTTACACTCAGACTGGTGTTATGGGAGGGGCAACTCTGAAGCAGGAGATTCTGGATTTTATCCCTAATTCCACTTTTCTTTCTTTGTAAGATGAAGGAAGAGGCTGAGCAAGACTAAAGTGTGACTTTGGGCTTCAGAGGGAAAGAAAGTTAATGAATTAGTTGAGAAAAATAGAAGGGGTTTTGCATGCAGAGAATGTAGTACAGTCAAACATCTATCTGTTAATTAACAAGAAAGGAAATAAAATTAATGACTGATAAACTTTCTAACTAACACTAGTAACTTTCTTTTTAAATCTGTGTTCAACCTGCTGGTTAAAGGAAAAAATATTGCAATTTGGGGGTAAGGGAACTTTTTTAAAATAACGATGAAAATATTTTCTTGAATATATTAGTAAGGAGCGGTGAGCAACAAGGTCGAAAAAACAGCAGAAATTGTCTTGGAAACAGTGAATATATAGAGGAAATAACAAAATTGAAATCTGTTGTTTCTGAGGAAATGGTCATCCAAGAAAGTTCAGTGGAGATGAGAACCACAAGATGGTTTGTGTTTGAAGGGACCTTAAAGCCCATCCAGTGCCATGGCAGGGACACCTCCCACTGTGCCAGGCTGCTCCAAGCCCCATCCAACCTGGCCTTGGGCACTTCCAGCTTCTCTGGGCACCTGTGCCAGGGCCTGCCCACCCTCCCAGGGAAGAATTTAGTAATTTCTTCCTGAAATCGACCCGAAAGTGATACAAAAACATGCGTGCTTGCATTGAAGCGATTTTCGTTTGGCTCAGTAGGTGCAATGCCGCTACTAACTAATATAAGTGCCGCTAATATAACTGTAGTTCAGAAGTTTATTGATGGATGTAAGTGCTTGTGTAAGTTGTTTTATGTACGTACGTATGTTCCCTGCTGCATCCTGCATCATTCCTGCGTGGCAGGTCAGGGCTCGTTCTGTGGATGAGCAGGGCAGCAGAGGGAGGGAAGGATGGTAAGACCGAGGGGTGGCGGGTTGCAAGGGGACGAAGCCGGGACATCACCGGGCTCTCCCGCAGCGCTCCGCTCC